AAGACGATTGGCTCCCTCCTAGTATGTTTACGCCTGGGCGGTTCAGCACTTACTTCTCCCACGTAAATGCTCCGGACCCAGTTCTTCCGCTGCGCGGCTGAATCTCCACCCTCGGGTCCGCCGAAGATCATGCCGATGTGTTCTTTTTCGGGGGCAGGTTGCCGCTCCCTTGGCCGGTTATTCCTCCGCCGGTCATTGTCCCGGTCATTCCCTGGGGCAGTTGGCCTAACCCACTGATGACTCTTCTCCTGGGCTTTCTGCAAGTAATCTTTGCCCAGCTCTCCACTGTCGATCATCTGCCGGATGACACCTTTAACACTCTTGCATTCGGAGGTGTTATGGGAATCAGACCTGTGGTACGAACAATAGGTGCCCGACCACTGCCGCCCTACTTGACCGGTAGGGTTTTCTGGAGGAATGACCGGTGCTTTCCGGACTTCTTGGCATTCTTCTGTATTGACCACTCGGATGACCGGGTCATAGTGGTGCCTTGGCCGGCTAGGTCCCGGTGCTTCTTCCTTCTTGACTTGCACCGGCTTGGGCTTGTGACCATGCTCAGCTTCTCTCTTTGCCCGGAGCTGGGTTTCAGCTTCAGCAAACTCCCATGCAGTATGGTAGGCCTCTTGGTACGTGGCTGGGGGTTTCCGGCAGAACTCCTTGTATAGTTCCCTAGCACGCAAGCCATTCTAGAGGAGGGAGAGGACGGTCTTGTCATCCATCTCTTCCACCTTGTCTACCTCTTCCTTCCACCGGGTAAGGAACTGAGTGAGGTTCTCAGACTCCCTCTGCCCGGCTGTACTAAGATAGGTGAACTTCTTCCTCTTAGTACAATTCTCCTGGAACTTAGCCTTGAACTTTGAGGCCAAATCACTGAACGAGTCAATGCTTCCCGGGCGAAGCTTATTGAACCATTCAGTGGCTCGGTTCCGCAAGGTCTGGAAGAAAAGTAGGCACTTTTCTTCATCGGTGCAACCGTTCATGGTCGCACTCTGGTTGAAGGAGTTCAGGTGGATTTCCGGATCTTCCTTCCCAGTGAATCTGGGGGCGTCGATCTTGACCTTTCGCGGGAAAGGTGTCAGATGGACCCTTGTGGTGAACGGGGACCCTGCCAGGGGTTTGTCCCGATCATTCTTCTCTCCGACCTCCTTTTCCATCCTTTCCAGCTTTGCCTCCATCTACTGGACGCGGTCGTTTGGGATGGTTAACCGGTTCGCCACCGGTAATTTGGGCTGGCTTTCTGCCTCCCCTTCCTGGTGGGAGGCCCTCGTCCTCGCTGGCTCCTGCCGGTTAGACCGGGAGCGCCGGGTGCGGGCAGGCTCGGCCTCCCGCACCTCGCCTAGCCAGGCGAATGCGCTGATATGGGCAACACTCTGCCCCAGCCTCTGCTTGGCTGACTTCCTCTAGCCTTCCTCCCTATCCCCCAGCCTTTCGAAGGCGGAGTTTCGGGAGGTCGCTGGCCGGATGTTTTTTCTTTTCTTCTTCTTGTGGGCCCTCGGGATGTCCCACTCGCCGTNTCGAGCTGCCTTGTCGCCTTGTGAGGGGGATCATTCCCTTTGTCGAGTAGCGCCTTGGATGGATTCTTCAGCATCTCCAGTTGTCTTCTACTGACACGGGTCGCTACACGCCAAGCCCTCGTAGATTCTCTTCTGCCGACACTTTCCAACCCTAGAAACTACACCGGGTAATCTCCGAGAGGTGAATTCATCGAAGTCTGGAATAAATAGGATGATAACGTAGTTTGACCAGTATACTTTTTTGTGAAGTGTACCGGTCAAATTTTGGCCGATGATATATCGTTTTGCTGACGATTTAAATCTCCCTTCCAAAACTTTCGAGATTGACCGGTCAAAGATTTGGCCTTCTCCTTTGACCGGTCTTGGGTGAAATACACCCATCAAGTCCAGTCACCAAGTGGTACTTGAATGGAGTGGCAAACTCTGCAGTGGCAAGTCATTATTTTTACTATTTTTACATTTTTTGATGTGTTTACATTATTAAAAAATATTTTTTATTTTATCAAAAAAATTAAAAATACTTCTTCTTCTTTACAAAAAAATGTTTTTTTCTTAAAATTAAATTTTTTTTAAAAAAAAGATGAAGAGAAGCATGTAGACATGGAGTACCTTCCTCATGCCCCTCAAAACCGTGGAAGAATGCCCAGCCATGCATTAGGGGAGCTGCTGAGTTGGCAAGCGTGACAAGGGTTTTCCACGCCCATTGCCGATGCTCTAATAATTCTGATTGGATTTGATCTAATCATATTTAATTTGATTTGGTTTTAATAAAAATAAGTAATAAATAGAAAAAATAAGTTAAAGGGAGGGTTGCTTTAACGATAATAAATCAATAACCTGAATTTTAAAAAAGAGTAAATTTCATAAAAGGTTCCCAGTTATAGGTCGTTTTACATATTTAGTCCCTACATATTAAATATTACTACTTTAGTCCCCAATAATTATATCATTTTTCACGAATGGTCCTTTGTTAACGTTTTTGTTAAGAACATGGATAAAATCGTATATTCATACTTCTCTCTCTCCTCAGTTAAGTTTCCTCCCTCCCTCCTCTGAGTCCTCTCGTACTCTTTCCCAAACTCGTCGCTGAGTTTGAAGCTTCAAACCCAAAACTGAAATGATCATTTTTCTCTCAATTATTAGTCTTCGTGGTGGAACCTAAAATCAAAACCAATAAGCTTTATGAATGAGTTTTATCGGTTAGTTTCAAGAAATTACAAAGAATATAAACATTAAAACTCATCCATGAAGGTTGCTAGTTTCGAATTTGGGTTCCACCAGTTAGACAAACATTTGAGAGAAGAGGGATGATTTTGGTTTTGGATCCAAAGCTTCAATTTCAACGACGGGTTTGAGAAAAAGTGCGAGGGGAGGGAGAAAGCTTATTTGAGGAGAGAAAAGAGTGTGAATTTACAATTTTATCCACGTTCTTAACGAAAATGTTAACAAATGAGCATTCGTGAAAATGAATATAATAATTGGGGACTAAATTAGTAATATTTGATATGTAGGAACTAAATATGTAAAACGACATATAACTGGAACCTTTTATGGAATCTTACTCTTAAAAAAATCAATATCCCAGTTTTCAATTTTCATTACTGCATTTCCTCTTCTCCCATCAATTCCCAAACAAACCCCTCCAAGTTCCCAAGATTCCCACGCAAAACATCCGTTTCCGCTAGTAGAATTTGAAAACCCTGAATCCGAAATGGCCGAAGATGGAGAAGAGAAAGAGGAGGATGTCCAGCAAGAAGAACAGGAAGATGAAGATATCGAAGGGGCTTCGTCAGAAACCGATTCGTTCATCGACGACGATAATGAATTAGCCGCAGAAGAAGCAGAATTGCTTCCCGAGGTATCGCACCACTGCAATATTGCATCTACATTCCGAGTACAACTGTTTACACTCAATTTCTTAATTTTTTTAAATTGTAATTCTGAATTGCTGTTGCTATGCTGGCTTGTTTGTGTGTAAACTGTAGGAGCCTTTGACAGAAGAAGAAATTGAAGAGCTCATTGCTGAACTTCTTGAAGTTGAAAGTAAGGTATATATTAGCCGCTGCTTATTTAGCCCCCCC